GGCCGCTGTCAACCACAAAACTGGCAGGTTGACGGCAGCTTATCTGCATCTCATGAGCATTTTTCCGGCTGTTGTGTATGTGTGTGTGTGGGAATCCTTGAAGTTGTCTGCCATCTGATACTTTCCAGTCATACACTAGATTGAACAGGTCTTCGCTGTGCATTTGTTGTCTTTTGTGGGGCGCTAAAATGTCAAATGATTCTTGTCTTGATTGAGCTGCTTGCTGTTGCTTATCGCTGAGATCGCGATCTCGAGGGATCCAGGCTCAGGTGTGTCGATCCACAGTAGCCCAAGTCTCCGTTGGCATATAGTGTTACAGTTCGCCAATTATCTGCATCTGAACTGTCTTAATTGCTAGCTAAATTCCCAAATTCCTAGTAATCCAGTTTTTCACTTCCATTCCGAATCGCTTCTCACGTAGCTCAAGTCATTCGCTCTTCTTAATCAATCTGCACTAAAAGGAGGTCAAATGGATGAATGAAAAATTGGAAATTGAGCTGGACAGTGTGAAGGGAATAAGATGTGCATTAAGTGCATATAAATGTAATGGAGAGTAAATGTATGGGAAGTATGGATAGGGCAAAGTCTAAAAAAAAATATTCCTATCTTTAATAATTGAAACGATTTCGTTTTATATCAATTGCATTTACTGTATAAAGCGCACACCCTTTTGCAATAAGTCAACAAGTCCATAGAGATAATGCGAAAAGTATTGAGTGAATTGATAAATCGAATTCGAGCCCGAACCACGTCAACAACGATGCACAGAAGGCGCATTACACATACTCCTAAGTGTATTACAGTCGTGCAAATAAATTTCGCCCGAGTCTCGCTGGCGGGTCAATCGGCAATCAGAGAGCGGGAGACGAACCTGTGATAACACCATGGGGCATGTCTATAGAGACGGACGGCGGTGAAAGCAAATGCATTTCCGGCTCTGTTTACTCAATTGCAATTCGTCGTGAGTACTATGTATAACTGAAACTGATAAGTTTTCAGAGGCAAAAAAGAAAGAAATTAAGAAAAAGGAATGCATTTGTAGATAATGCAACAAAATATTAGAATAGAAATTAAAATGTTGCTGAACTTGGCCCCTTTGTTGTGTGGGTGCTGACGATGATGACGTTGAGAGCTCTGCGAGCGATGGGTCTTATCATGCAAAGTGACTTTGGTGATTTGGTTAGGTCAAATATTTTCGTATTAGCTGTCTAAATTTACTTTGTGGCGCCAAGTGGAAGTCTTTGAACCCGCCTGGGAAGGTGAACAGCTTGCCCCCCACCCTCACTGTATGTGAGACCCAGTGCGTACTTCAACTGCTCGGTTTGAGCTCATTAAAGCCAGCTCATTGTCGAGTGTCCGGCGGTAATCCCTTTTCTTCCTACGATTTATTCTACTTCTCTTCTTTTTTTTTGCTGCCCGGAACAAATCTCTGCAGACATAGCAGACCCAAATCATGAGGCGTATAATGCGCTCTCACAGGATCCAAAAACCCACGCATCGGATGTGCAATCTTGCGCAAAAGGATAACAGAAATAATAACCATATGGACCAAGTGAAGAATTCAAGGAGTCCATCCAGCACTGACCTGCTGACCAGCCTGGGCATGAGAAGTGAGAAATTAGGAAACCCTCAGTGGAATCAAGCATGCAAAATGTGTCTGCCTGCCCCTTAACAACAAGTTCAAGCGTCAGAATAAAGCAACCAAGACATAGGAATTGAGCACGATGACTGACCAGAAGATGCCCTGTAGATGATTTAGCTAATTTTTGTGTATATTGGCTTTGAATATGATATCCAAATTTTGGAATCTTGTTTAATATTCGAAACGTGCGTAATCATAAAGATATAGAATCAATGCTATGGGCAGTTATTTTAAATATAGCAATTGTAAAATGTATAAAATTACGATATTTTTATTTCTTGTGAAATATTAATATTATTTGATTTCGACCTACAAGGCAATATCTGGTTTAGTGATGAGAATAAAGAGTAAAAATAGATTAACATTGTCTCTTACGGTTTTAAATGTCCAAATTCGATATTCAAATATACCATATAGCAATATAGCTACATTAGATGAACTTGGATAAACATGAGTATAATTTCTATATCCGAATATTAGCTAAATTACATACACTTATCTATTTGATCATTGATATATCATAATCTAAATCTTCTAGCATTGATTTTTTTTACAATTTATCAATCTGTTACACTCTTTGAAATCTCATACAATTCTTTCTTTAATGACTGTATATGCCCTTCAGAGCGATTCGCTATGTTTACAGGGTATACAAACCTCATATGCCTCGCTGAATTTTAGTTGTACACAATATTTTTAAAGCAATTAACTATTGTTGAGTGTGTCTCTCTTCTTGTGCGTGTGTGTGTGTGTGAGTGTGTGTGTGTGTGTGTGAGTGTGTGTGGTTGGGTGCTCTGGCATCCTTAATGCGTAACCTGACACTTGGGTAACTAGGCACACATAAATCAGCGTGCAGCGCGGAGCACCTCAACTGCTCGATAAAAGTGAAACCATTTCCGGTATATATCAGCGTGGAGTCCTGCGACTTTCGCTTTTTAAATCGCTGCGTTTTTCTACAATTTCCACATCAGAATGCGGAACAAAAGCGAATTGGACGACGCCCCTCGTCGATCACATTCAAATTTCACTTCCGTGTTGCAGGTCGCCGCGATATTGAATGCGCCAGGTAACGATAACGATCAGTTATCGTATTGCACATCGATATGGCTGTCGCCAGGGGGAGGCGTGGCCGAGGGGCGTGCATCGCGGCTTGATTTTTTGTGGTTACTGTGTCCGCGAGTTAAGTGAAAGTATTTGAATGGGGCAGCAGAAGAGACCCGCATAAGTCAGCCACCTCAGCCGCAATAACTAACTGCCGCATCCGGCGTGACATTTTGCCTTAACTACCCCTCCAGCTGCCGCAGTCGCTGGCTCTGACTCTGTCTCTGCTTTGACCACTTAAACTCCTCCTGCTCCTCCGCATAGACCGCTCGGAGAGATGATGCTGCACTTTCAGCTGAGCCGCTCTAATCAAACATAACTAAATATTTCCGCATATTGTTAATCAATTTTTATGCAAGAAGCATCGAGTCACAGCTCTGGCTCTGGCTGCCCCTAGCTGCCCATCTAAGTGGCCTCTAATTTATGCCACATGGAGGCGTAACAATTGCGAGCCCAAACAAATGTCCCATTGGCTGCAGAGTTTGGTATTCAAATGAATATTTGTCCATTGTTTAGCCAAATTTCCATTGGTGTTGTTTGCTAATTGTTTTTTTTTTTTTCTCCCCGATTCGTTGGAAGAATATAAAATCTTTTTAATATATATTCGACTATTATTGTGGGGTTGTCATGGTTAAGGGACGCGGGCGTGTGCAGCAAAGGGAGCCGTAGAGGAGGCTGTTGCTGTGGATGCGGGCGACAAACATTGGAAAAACCTTTCCGAATACATATAATGAGCTATTAGATAAGAATTATGCAGACCTGTGAGTTCTTCCCATGTTCCAAATGAGAATTTAATAAGGCCTTTAAGGTATTCAGATGTTCCAAGCGGGACTCTTTATGTTTTTTGGGAGACTAAAAAGTATGTAGCCTGAACAGAGACTTGAATGTAGTACTGAAATTGTGCAAACAGTAGTTATATGATTAATAATCTGTAATATTTACAGACAAACAAGATAATTCGAGTTTAGATCCAATTTAAACTTTAAGTGCTCATAGTCATAGCATTCAAAATAATATTCAAATACTAATTATATTATCAGATAATCAAGGAATTATTTTTCTTATAAATTGTAATATTTATAATTTATTTATTAAGTAATATATATATATATATATATATTTATTTTAAATATTTCCTGTAACTTTATCTGATTTAATTACACAATATACATTACATTACCTCTTGTCTAGTGATTTTGATTCTTATATATATTATTATTTAATTAATTTCTGTTTATAATAATATCAAATATTGCTTTTATATGCTGCTAGTTTCATGCCGGTCTTATCAGTAGATTTTATATGTTCTAGAAAAATAAGTTTATTTTTGTACCTCAAATGATTATAAATATCATTAATCATTATTATTAAAAGAAATTTTTTCTATATTATATATGGTTATTGACTATCGTTCTTTTCATCTGTTCTCACGTATAATCGCTCAATTACTTAAACACAAAAATTGAATTTTTTTTTCTGATTTGTGATTAGTTTTGCTTAAAAGTATAACTAAGTAAATGTCGCAGCTTAAATATAATGTTTTATTTTATTCTTCGCATTCATCTCCCCACTCCATCATTTAAATACTCTTTTTTATTTAGTTAGAATTACCCCTAAAGTATGTCAAGTACTGCGAGTAATATAGCAAAGCAAGTCGAGCGACGCATCTAACATGTTGTGCAGTTAAAGGAAGAATCTGCTGCGCGACCAGGACATTGCACAATGGGTAAAACAAAGGGATGCCGATGTCGCCTACTTCTTGTAGAGCAACTGGCTGGCCAACTGTGTAAACATCAAGTGCAGCAAAAACAAAGCGCGGCAGACAAGGACATCAGCAACAGGACGACAAGTGGCGTCGCAGGAAGAGGAAGAGGAAACTGAAAACCCAATTCGAGAGCGTGTTTGTGTGTAACCTAAGTAAATGGGTCTGCTGTTTATGGAGCAGCAGCAGCGGTAGCAACAGAGTCGCTGATTGCAGCGGGATAAACACATGCGGAAATGTCCTGGCTTCCTGTCCAAAGCTGGCGTCAGGGCAACGCGCAGCAGCAGCCGAGATTTGTGCCAAATTTTAAATCTGCAGAAGAGAATTTAGAAACGGATTTGCTGCTGTTCAGCAGCAGGTCACGTCGCCAGCACTTGGCCAATAGTTCGAACATCGAGCGCGGTTGCTAAGCCACTCAGCCCACTGTGCACACACGTACGGCAAGCCAGCCAAGCTGTTGCTGTTGTTGTTGCTGCCGCTGCTGCTGTTGCCCGGCGACAAATTGAGTTGTCACCTTGCGGCACTAACATAAAAAATCGATTCGATGACAATTCTTACGTGATATTATAACAAATTAACAGACACGCATGCGAGCATGATTATCCCTTCCATCCAGGAGCAGTGGCTGCCCTTTGATACTCGGCCGCCAGCGGCATCCTTTTAGGCCTTTGGGTTTGCATAATTTGAGTGACAAGTTGCCCGATTCGGTCATCAATATCTTGAATAGAGAGCAGTTGCCTTAGATGTGCCGTAATCCTGCCGCCAGCTACAAATGCACGCAGCTCCAAACAATGTCCGCAGTGTGAACAATTCGCAAAAGACTAGTCAGAGATGTCCTCAAAGCCATTAAAGAAAAGACATACAAATGAATAGTTTTATATTTGATAAAATCATGTAATATCACTATACTATATATGTACATCCTCTATTAGTTGCCAGACTAACAGACCAGCAGGCTACGTTCTAGACAAGGCTGGATTCGACATCTGCCGATGGGGTAGGGCAGATGAAGAAAGGAAAGTCAATGACTGTTGATCGTCTGAATGCGCCTTTCATTAGGCCAAGTTGAATAACTAGAACGCCATCGCATGACGAGAATATTTGACAAAAAAATATTTGAGGAAAAAAGAATTTGTGTGGAAAACTCTGTACAAAAGTTTTCAAGGCATTGAAAATTCTTCAACTGCAGTTTTGTGTCTTTTGCACAAGAACAAGAAATAATCTGCAGCTACAGCAACTGAAGTAGAGGCTCGGAATTATGATTAATGAATGCTGGCAGTCACAGCAGAAACAGCAGAGCAGCAGCAGCATCGGTATCGGCATCAGCAAACTTGGCCAACTGGCTGAGTGTCCTGGCCAAGTGGCAGGCCGAATTTTTAATGGTCTCGACGCTCCAAACAAAGCCAAAGGCCATTGACAAAAAAATGCAGAAGAAAAAAAGAAAAATAACTACAACTGACTTTTTATATACAATTTTTGGTTGCTTTATTTCTGTTTGCTCGAAGATCATAAATCATGCGCTTTGATTAAAGGACACACACGCAGGACATTCGAGTTGACTGCGTAGGTGCTGCTGCTTGGCTTTGATTAATTGTTGGCCCAAAGGATTGGCCGTTAAAAATTGCAATTCGGCGCGCCTGTTGACAAGTTATCCTTGCCAATTGCTAGCTGTGTGGCCAGCGTGGCCTGCGTAGCCAGCCCCTCCCCATTGAACTCGGTCGCCCTCGTTATCCTGCTGTCAATCGTCGCCTAGCTGTCAACGACCAATCAATGCAATTTACAGCTTCATTTTTGCAAATTTACAACGACGAGGTGGCCTTGTTGACAGCCCAGGACAACAACGGCTACGACTGCTAAACTGGATGTCCTTCAAGTTCGACTTGAAAAGCTGCTCATGCGTGTGCAATGCGATACTTTTTGAGAATTTTCAATGCGGCTTTGGGTCTGTTTTTTGTCGGCTTACTTTTCTAGGACTTCGGCGCGACCAAACTAATTGCCAAACAATTGCGCCTGATTATCCTGTCAGGCGTCAAGTATTTGTGCGGTTTCCACGCTTTGTTTAATTGGATTTGCCTGCGCGCTGTGGACATGTGAGTGACATCACGTCGTCGCCAAAGTCATCGAAACGCACCTTTTCACAATCGTCGAGTCAACTTTTTGGCGCCGCAAAACAAGCCAACAAAACCGAAGCAAGAGTGCTCCAGTCGGGTGGGCTAGACTAACAGATACCCTGAGCTGTGGGCTGAACTGAATCGAAATCTGCTAAATCTATGTTTACTCTACGAACAACAAACTCTATTCATTCTGCGGATGAACGGATTGATAGACAGACTGAAATAGAGATAGAGATAGTGTTGTCAGGCTAGGAGATACCCAGATCAGCTCCAGGCTGAATAGGATTCAGATCTTCACAATGTGTGTGTTCATGATGATTATAGATCGTTATATAGGTTTAAATATTTTCATATATGGTGATATTACCATCCAGAAGCCTCAGCTGTTTATTCTGTTGAGCTCCTGCACTACAGCCAATATACCCTGTACACTCATTTTCAATGGGTTCAGGGTATAAAAACGCACGCAAAACGCGCCTGGCCATGAACGGCCATGACTGCGATCTTATCAGCGTTCTCCTCGACTACAGATCTAATATATAATTATGTGAAGCGCTATGATCAAGGTACAATCATATAAATAACAAAATTTGGCTGTCGGTTGCCTTCACTCGATCTGATTAACCCATTTCATGTTCTATTTATGTAAATATAGAAAAGATCCCAACCCAATCACATAATTTCATTTTAATCTACTTCATAATTTTTTGTTGATGCCAAAAGCTAATGAATATTTCGAAATTTTTATGGACTTGTTGTGCAGCTCTGAAGATAATGAATCTATTCTATAATAGGATTTATTGTAGACTTCACTTGCTATAATATAATATGCTGATCTTGTGTTGCTGTCGCGTGTTGTTTTTTGTTTATAGTTCAAAGTTTGAGATGCGAATTAAACACTTAATAAATGATGATGCTACCTGCATAGATAACAGACAGATTGTTTATATGATTTGATCTTTAGAGATATTCTAGAACAACAGAAAGCTAGAATACATAAAAACGTTAAGCGAACTCGGGTCTCAAGTTACATATAAAGTAAGAATAATTTGCATTATGAAATACGTTTAGTCAATTCTTGAACTGATGAAATGTTCAATATTTTGACAAATATTTACTTTATATTGATCTATGGTTCTTAGAAACACAAACCTCTGATAAGACCCAAACTAAACTTGACAGATTTGAATTTACTGCAAGTCTCATTTTGCATTTAGCATTGAAAACAATCTGATGATGGTATATCGAACCAAAATATCTATTATATTAAAAAAAAATTTAATAAACTGTCTTAAGAAAATATAGGAAAGGATAGAATGTCACATTGACGATATTGATATTCAAATTAATTATATTTAAATAATTTTAAAAAAAGCAATTTTAACTAGTTTTGAACTAATCTTTCATTTGTATTTACATGAAATATTCATAAATGTCATACTCAATGGGGATAATTTATATATCGCAGATCAATCTATATGTTGCATCATAATTCGAATTCTTACTTAGGTTTCTTTGAACGACACTAAGTATAGCTATGCTTCTGCTCTAAAATCTTTAGCTTCAATTTAGTCTTGAACTCTTACTTAATATTCCTCATATGATTATGAAGGCATCAAGAATTGGGTTAATTATGCTCCCATGCTTTCATTTTCGCTCAGTGTTTCCAAGTCGTGGTCTATTGATAAGCCCTGCCCCTACACCCAAGAGCTGCTGCTGCTTTGCCTCCCTCTCGCTCTCCCTTCGCCCATTTCCGCAGCATGCAACAGTCAGAGATCTCGCGCTATACGGCGTACTCTTTGACACCGAAAAGGAGGATTTTTTGCGTTTCGCATTATATTTGCAAATTTCGCCGAATAAGCATAAGAGAATCGTTGATAAGCAACTGGTTGACTAAATGCGGCCCGGGTGCATTGCTCGACCCGACGATAAGCAGCACCAAGTCCTTGATCTTGAGTTGCGTTTCTAGCCGCTTAAAATGAGAAATAGCAGAATCTGCGTCTATGGTGGCTTGAGAGGCAGAGACGTGGGGCTGAGCATCGCATTCCAATGTTTATGTCAGATGCAAGAAATAGCAAGAAGGCAGCTGATAAGAGACCCACCTCTACAAAAACTGGAATACGTTAAACACAAAACGCTGCCGCCGGCTAACAAATTGATAAGAACGGTAGCCAGCCTGCCTAATTACACAAGGGGGACACATTTGCATCTGTTGGGCCGATAAACGCACGCAAGAGCAGCTGGATGTGGGTGAGACACGCGTTGGAGTTGGCCCGAAAGCCGCTTAAGCGGAGACAGCAACAACAACTGAGGCAGCAACTGTGGCAGCCACTGTAGCAGCAACAGCTGCTCGAGTTGACAGGCAGGCAGCCACCAAGTGGCAAAGAAATCCTCCAAATTACGTAGGCCGCTTAGACTTGACTGCAATGGCCATTCACCTACACAAATAGAGAGGAATCTGGGCACGGGATCAAGTCTGATTTCCAAAAACAGAATCGGTAGATCTTCACAATAAACCAGCTCGGGCCTAAGCCGCTCGTTATGTCAGCGAACAGGAAGTTGAACAAATTGCATAAAAAAATCTACAATAATTACAAAAGAAGGCCAAGGGCCGAGAGCCGAGGGCCGAGGGCCGAGGGCCGAGAAACCAATAGCCAAGTTCTTTGTTATTGCCAAAAAAAGAAGGAAAATATATAGAGATATTGATTGAGAAAATAATAAACAGTTAAGGAAACAGATGAATTGGCCAGAACGGAAGCAGCAACAGAGGCAGGACCTGATGCACTCGGATGGTTGCCTCATCTATAAAGTGTAGTCAAGGAAGTCCCTTTTGTAACTCTACTAAATGTAGAACAATCGGGGAGTCTACGTGTAGAGGAGCGTAACTGATATATGTATGTTGAGGTTGAAATGTATAATAATACCAATCTGTAAAGTAATACAAATTATTTTAAGTGATGGGGAATGAATATATTAACTAAGCATTTCTGTTTCCATTTGCAGTATATTTGAAGATAATAAATTGTCATATGATATGTATTAATTATCTGAAAAGAAACCATTTGGTAATTACTCTATACTCTTTTACTACTATTCACTATTCACATCAATGTTATGAAGAGCGAAATAAAAAAAAATATATGAAAGTCTTTTATATTTCTCACTTATAAAACTCTCACAAAATACTTCAACAGCATCTAACAGAAATCAAGTTATAAATTGCCGAAATCTTGATGTTTTTTATTATCAGAGACTATAAAATATTTTGATGGGAATAAATTGACATGTATAATGACATTTCTACTAGATTCAATATGTGCTATGTATGTATTATAAAGTATATATAAAACTAAAATAATGTACAATTTTCTTTGAAATATTGCCTCCATATAATTCACACCAAAATATAATACAAGTTGTAAAAGAATGCCTTATCTAATAAAAAAATGTGAGAGTGTAAAGGAATATTTGGAATTAATTAAGGGAATATGATCAGCCTGAAGCTTCCAAGCTATTTTATTCATTTTATCCCTAGCATGTCTCACATTCACTCCTTTGGCCTCCTTTGGCCAGCATATTTTCCCAAACCCAAAATCCATTCTGAGCGCTGAGCGCAATCGAGAGACACGCGCGGCACTTCCTAGTGGGACTAAGCTTTAATCCAGAGATCAAATTCGAAATCCGCGGAACTAGCGCTTGATCTGTGGCTGCTTATTGCGCCACAAATCTGCAGATCCTGCCAGATCCTGGCGCTAATCGCAACGCTCACTAATCGCACGCCTTAAGTTAACTATAATCCAACATGATCCACTTCACGATCTTCTTGTCGGCGCGGATGCCTCGGATACCTGGCCGAGTGTTCTTGGCCAACTGTTTTTGCTTAATCCCCGGGCTTTAACTTTTTGCGCTCGCCCGGATTATAATAAAAATTTGAATATTGCGACAATTATTTTTTGCTGGCTGGCCAGACGCTTTTACCTCTTTACTATGCAGCTGACTCTCCGGATTAGTCGAGCAGACAGCGAACGAAAAAAAGAAACGAAAACACGTTGCGCCTACCTCGAGGCGGATTAAATTTTTTTGCTTGCAACAAAAATAAGTCCAGTGTTAAGCACGGCGATTAGAGCTTGATCCTCAAGGGACGTGGGCGTAATATTGATGGATTTTCCTCTAAATCCGTCGGCTAATCTCCGGCTTAACGTGCATCGCGATTTTTTTCGCGACTGCAACTATTTTGTGTTTTGTCTTGTTTTTTTTTCGCTAGAAGGCAACTCGGTCTGTTGACTGACTGCGCGAGGATCATAATTATGGAATTCCTAAACAAGAGAGCCGAGCAGCGAGTGCGCTTAGCGTGTGCTACCTGTAAGCGTGGTTGTGGGCGTGGGTTACCTCTTTGCCAGGTCATCGCGGCCAGGTAGGCTGGCCTGGCTGCTTGCTGCTCGGCCTGGAGGTCAGCGTTTGGCAATTAAGAAGTCAATTTTCGACCAAAAAATAAAATAAAATAAGAGACAAAAAGATTGTGAGACAATGCAAAAAATGTGCTAAAGCTGAACTAAATCCGGCTTAAGAATGGGCCAAGTTTTGCGTCATAAAACCAAAAACTGCCTCAGGCCACGTTCACTACCAGTGAGAAGCGTCCATCTCTCTCGCTCTCTCTCTCTCTCTATAATAAATAGAGTGGCATTCGCTCGATCACAGAAGCCTTGCCTCGGAATTCGCCGCAATCGTGAAAACTCAAATCTTTCTCTTCTCTCTCTCTCTCCCTCGCTCTGCTGTGCTCTTTCGCTCTCTTTTTAGCCGCGGCCCGAATGTCCTTGACTACACCTAATGTGCTCGCGGTTTGACTTTTTTGCCCCGTTTTTTACGGTGCTCATTTGTATTTGTTCCTTCCGTTTTTTAGCTGCTCGTTTTTTATGAGCCTACCTGGGTTTATGAGTGTGATTTTTCGTTGCTTTTTGTTTATTTTTTAGCTGAGACACTTTTCTAATGAGTTGAGAGAGGTTAGTGAACCACGGAGAAACTGAATGACTAAGCGCAGACTTGGGCCGAGACACTTCGCGGCGATTGTGTGTACAGCTGCTTAGCCGAGATGGGCTAACAGTTAGCACAAAAGTATTTCTGCTGAATTCCCTAAGATGCGAGCACTTGGCGAGTATGTTTGTAATTAGAATTAGCCCAGGACCAACCCACCAAAAATCTCTATGAAGGATACATTGTAGCTGCGAAGGACGCTGGCCATTTGCCGGATTAGCCGCCTAATCCTTGGTCCGAGCGTGCGAGTCTGTCTATGTGTGCGTCCGCTGTTCTATTTACGTTGCTTGGCCAAACAATTAGCGCAAAATGCTGTTCGCCAATTTTAATGAGTTATGAAATCTGTTTACCGGGAATCACGACAGACAACAAAATATTGCCGTCTGACGGGGCGATCGCTCGATCGTAAAAAGCAAGAAGTGCAGTGCTTCAGTTTACTCCAGTTGCTGCAGCGCTGGTTTGGATGCAGTGACGTACTCCTGTCTAGGCGTGGGCTCTACATGCATGTATCCTATCGCTAATCCCGCCTGCTTAGCGGTTGCCTAATCTTAATCCCAATAGGAACAGGCTCAGGCTAATCCTGATGCACTGCTTCCGAGCAAGCGACGCGCGCTGACGTCACTCGCTGGCTTAATTCAATCACTCGGATTAGCTTGAGCTGGCGACCGAGCTCGAATCGCGTGCCAATGATTCATTCAGGGCTCTAACCCCTTGCCAAGGCGCTGGCTGTCGTGTGACTGGCTTGTGCCTTAGCTGCACCCAAGACTCGATCCTTCCCTTGCTCTCTGTCGACAATCAATTTGATATCAAACAGGCAGCCTGTTGAGCGCCCTGACTGTTTTTTAAATAGTCTTTTTAGGGGATGCTGCGCGCTGTGCAAGAGGATCGCCGGGCTTGTTTACACATATGGCTAGAGGCAAGGGCGGTTGCCACGCCTGCAGAAGAGGCTTGTATTGCAGAGGCGGGGAGAGCAGCAGGAGTTTCATTTCCAGGAAATACTCAGTACAAGCTCAGCTTTGCACTCAGCTTAGTTCAAGTCCTGGCAAGTCCTGCTGCAACTCTTTACCACGCGCTCACACATGCTGAGTCCTTTTTAAGCCGCGCCTCATTAGACGAAAGGGTAGCCTGGTTTTTCGCCGCATTAAAAAGCGGATTTGAATTAATGCCCAGTTCCGCACTAAAATAATATTCAACTCAAGATTGCGTGGCTTAGCCTTAGCCGCTGGTCTATTCATTCAGCCGCATCCTGAGCTGAGCTCAAGGATTAGCGAAATCTTAATCAGCCTGCTTTGCATGCGAGTTCATTAAGCGCCGTCTCTAGGAGACACATTTAGAGAGAGGGATAGCTATAGCAATTCGATTTGTCATGTTTATTATCATGAAGAACATTATCAGCCCATTATCGATTGCTCGATTGACTATAAATCAGAGGAACCCCTCGCTCGATCGAGTGTTACAAATAGCTAAAAAATTTGTGGGCATCACGCTGAGCGAGAGAGATCACATGACATCGTGTACTACCCCTAACCCTATGGCTAACCCTACCCTGGGGTAGGGCTTGGCTCAACTTTCGCTTTCACTCTTTCACTTTTTATGTGCTCATCTATTTATGTTGACAGCTCACCCTCCAGTGAAGCACGCCTCCTTCGAAATATTTGCTAAAAATTTGTCGTTTTTGGGCAATTTTTTGTTTGAATTTTGGCTTTGGCGGCGGTTAGGGTTATGCTTGGCTAAATAAGTAGATGCTGGCAAACAGCTGTAATACGAGACTGGACAGATGAGCCCGCAATAAAGCCAGTGCAGCTGCCCTCAAAGAGTTGCCAATATGCTGGTTGAAAGGGTAGTCCAACGGTACTAACAATGAATAGGCCTATTAAGCTATATGTAGGTTTCATTAATATTTAATAATATCTGAAATTTTTGTTTATATTTTTTAAGAATTCCTTAAATCTATATAAGTGTTTTAATATCGGTATAAGCTGACCAAATAAAATCATTTGTATTCAAAATTCAGCATCGAAGTTAGAACTACAAATGATAATTAAAAAGTTTAAGGAATTTTGTGAGTACATGATTTATTAATAAATACAATATAAAAATTCATTTAATTTCACAATGGTTATTTGTTATTTAAATTCAATTAGTTTTTTATAATATCTCTCGATTCCGATAACTTTTGAATCCTAGAGATTGTTTCTTACTTTTCTCAGTCAGAGGCAACTATAATGACAATTGTCGTAAAAAGAGCTCAAAGTACAATTTCGAGCCTGCCTTAATAGTAAATAGAATTAATATGAATTTCAATGTCATGAGCCACGCACTAATTACAGCTAATTGATGTTGGGATAGGTTAGTAGTCGAACAATAATATTAGTTGATAGCGGTACGCACTATCTAACGCACTAGTGGCCCACATATAAAACGCACATTCCAAGGCACGCATATGGCACGTATGTACATGTAGAGCTCTCCGAGTACTTTCTCTTGACAACGAAAAATGAGCTGATAATGGGTTGGCTTGCTCTGACATTTTATTATCAGCAAAGACCGGATCTCAATGAAGGAGAAGAAGAAGCAGCAGCAGCACTAAGTAGCTGTGACAATAAATGTTTGTTAAATCGCCCGCTTATCAAAGGAGGAGATTGTTACTCTGACTAATCCAGCTTTGGGAGACAACATTCCTATAAAGGGGTCGCCAATATTCCAAGACTTCTTTATCGCTTTCTTTATCTCGCTATCTCCTCTCTTTCTCTATCTCTCGCACTGTTACCCTCTTTCTGTCTCCTTTCTGGACGATTCGGCGTTGTTTTTAATGTTTTCTGCGTATTTTAATTTCCTGGCAAATATCATATATTGTTTGTTTGACTAATCCATCGGGGAATTGTTTTAGTTTTTGCCAGTTTTACGTAACATTATGCAGAGCAAAATATCCTAGATGGCAGACTCACTATGTGCGACAAAGGCCCTTTTTGGGTCATTGTAGTTTTCACTTTCGAAAATTTACAAAATTTCCACGGTAGTTCGAGTGCTGACCGAAATTAACATCCCGTCGCGCTCTACGGTCGCGTCCTTGGCCTACCTAACGGCACCTCAATATGCATACATTTACTTTACATACACACATACTTATATGACTGTCGCATATTTATGCACGTTTTCAGCTGAAGTTGTGCATGTCCTTGCCATAAAAATCTACATAAAACCATTTAAAAGTCAATCCGCAAAAGTCAGCAGTCAAAAAATGATTTCGAAACTGTTTTTTAGCAACGGGTTTCTGTTCAAGTTTTTTGCGGCTGGCCTTTACCTGATTTTTTTAATACTATTTTTTTTTAGATGTTTCTCTATTTTTATGATATTGGCTTTTTAGACGTGTGCCAGCAATTAGTTGACCATTAAAAACGCTGCTCATTGAGCAACTCAACTCAGCTCAACTCAACAGGCTGCTCGGCATATGAAAAAAAAGAGAAAGAAAAAACTCACTCACATTTGCCCCTTCGCTCTACTTTCACTTGGGCTTCGCCCCTTTTGAGTAGCAATTCGCTTTGTTTACTTCCTGTTTACTCGTACAGCGCACGCTCCCAGCCAACCCCAGCTACCGGTTCTAACCCCACACTCCTCGCTCATTGCTGACTTTTGGCGTTCGTTGTTGCTTGCTCGCTCGCACGCTCAGCCGCTCTTTTCGCCTTTATCATCCCCCTTTGCGCAGTTGAGCGCATTTCTCGTTGCTTTATGTACAAAGGGGAAGTCTTCTATATGAGTTAATTGCTGCCGTTTGAGTGGAACCGAACCATTTTAAATTTTAACTGTCTGTCAAGTGTTTCCTATTTTTTATGAAGGCTCTAAAAAACGGAAGTGCAGGATAGTTTTTTAAGGATACTATAGGTAGTTTTTATTTTTTTTATTTTTGTGAGTTGTAAAAAACTCGTGGGTCATAAAACCATAAAACTTTTTACGCCCCTTGTAGAAATATGTTTGTTATTATGTTATATGCGCTTGGGTAAAAAAGTCAAGTCATTATATGTAGCATTAAACTGGCCTTAAAAGAAATTAGTTTAGTTTAGTTCTAGCATTACGATTTATTCCTTGAACAGCTGAAACATTCGCCTTCTCGCTCTTTCTTACTAATTTGCATATGAGCGGCATCAAGCATGCCTAGGTAAAACAACAACAGCAAAGCAAGAGCGCAAAGCAAAAGCAACAAAAAATTGCTGAGGTACTTTTGAGCTGTGCTCAGTTTTTTTTTTTTTTACAATCTCATATACATAAACACACACGCACACACATTGAGCCTCATAAAGGAGAGCACGTTACCTGCTTTGATCGGCAGCGCATTTCGGGTTTCGTTTTTCGTTTCGTTTTTACGTCGTGCTTCCTCCCTTTGGCTGGCTGGCAATGTGCGTGTGCGAGCGAGCGAGTGAGTTGCTGAGTGAGTGAACGATTGAGTGCGTGCCTGCGTTTGTGTGTGTGTGTGTGTGTGCGTCCGTCGTGCAGAGAGGGTGAGCGTGTGAGCGTACTTATAGTTAGCGCACGCGGCGAATTCGTATCATTCGTGATTTGGCTCTGGCAGTGAGAGGAGCACAGTTTCTGATGCCAAACAAATACACATACACACACTGACGCAATCGTAAAACACACTCACGAAGCAAATTTGTTGCTTCTAAAGGATTTCCACAGCGCAAAGGATACACTCTCTCAATATAAAAACGTGTTGCAGTCGTTCGCTTCATATCATTTCTCAGCGACAACTCGTCACAGTCACAACTCAAGAAACTTAGTTAAAAAATAATAAAATACAAAAACTCAATTTGTTGTGTCTTAACGATAAACTAAAGGAAAAGGAATCGCGAGAACCAATAACATCAAACCAAATACCTCAACAAAATAGCAAAAAAATATAAAAGTTTAATTAAAATACGAGTAACAAATTTATAATTGCAACTACCTCATTTTTGTATAACGTGAACTTTTGTAAACTGTGCAACAACTACCTCAAAGTACAAACACACACATCACATCCATACCCTCACCCACACACACACCAAGTGCGCGAAATTATAAAAAAGAAGTTTTTGAAAAGTTTAAAACTAAAAAGAGCTCAAATGAAATTAAGTGTTCAGAACTGAAGTAAAAAACAAATTGTAGTGAAATTGTAAGCAAAACGCTTACAATTTGATTTGCTCGATCGGAGCAAGGACACCAACAAACAATCAAACACACAGCATACAGTTATGGCCATATCAATGTTGCAGGACGCGCAAACACGAAGTAAGTAAAATTAAAAATTAGAGAAAAATATTTGTACGTAAAAGCAGGACAGTTCACGTTTCCGAAACATTTTAAAATTTTGCTTCTATTAAAATATACAAAATGAAAAATATCGAATTGAATATTTTTTATACATTTTAGTAGTCTAATATCTAAACAATATTTGCATTAGGGAATATTCGAAAAATGGAATAGAAAAATTTAACGTCAACATCAACAACAACTATCTAGCATGAACATACTGCTATACTATACGTCAACGTTTTAATTTCTATTCGAATAGTATTTTATTCTTCAATTTCCTCAAACGTATTAAAGTTCGCATTAAAGCGCAGCGATTCACATGCACACAAACACATGCTTAAGCACGCACAGCAATAACGACGTCTCAATGTGCTTGAGTTAACATTAGGCGCCATTTTGGCAAATGCTCAACGCACACACACACACTCACTTACAAGTTGGTTCATACACGCACACATGCACAGCAATTAAGTTTTGTTTACAAGTTTTTTTTTTTCGCCGGCATTTAACTCGTTTCTTCACGCCCACCAAAACAAATGTTAAAGAGAGAAAGATAGAGAGGAAGAAAGATAAAGAGAGAAAGAGAGAGAGAGCTCGCATGGTATTCGAAGAGCGTGCACACAGACAAAAGCTCACACATATGTTACACATATGAGGCTCCTTAAGAGAGCGCGCTCTTTGGCCACCCACACTACGTGCCACATTCACACGTGCTGCTACTGCTTTGAACCCCGAAATAAAGAATCGAAAAAAAAAAACAGTTAAAAAGTTTTGTTTGCCGCCGCGGGCAGCGCTGACCAAACTGTTTCTGACAGCTCAGCGGGCGCAGAAAAGAAAGAAAAAATAATAGAAAATAGAAAACGAAACAAAAATAGAATATTGGGAAATCAAGGAAATCTTTGCTCTAGTTTTAGCTGATATTTCTTAAAGAAGAAAATTAAAGTAATATTTTAAAAACCGGACAATTTTCGCTCTTGTTAATTTTTTGTTCTTTTTAAACTATTTATTTAATTTTTACTATTGGTTTAACTAACTTTTGAATTTTCGTACTTACTACTTTCAGGCTTAGCCGCTGCCTTGGCTGGCATCAAGCGCGAGGACATGGTTGTAGATCGCTCCATGTCGCTGTCCCCGCCCATGTCTGCAAATACCTCGGCCAGCAGCCCAGTGGCCTCCACCAATTCTCACTCCCTGTACCCCGCGATGGGCCTACAACAGGCGGCAGCAGCGTCCGCCTTCGGCATGCTCTCGCCCACACAGCTGCTGGCTGCCAACAGGCAGGCGGCCGCCTTTATGGCCCAGCTGCCAATGAGCACATTGGCCAACACACTCTTCCCACACAATCCCGCGGCGCTCTTCGGCGCTTGGGCCGCCCAGCATCAGCAACAGCAGCAGCAGCAACACCAACAGCAGCAGCAACAGTTGCAGCTGCCGCTAGCTGGAACCCATCTGCATTCGCCCCCTGCTAGCCCCCATTCCCCGATAGCCGGCAGTGGAAAGCACCCGCTGAGCTCGCCCAACAGCACGCCGCAGCATCATTTGGGCCTGGGCTTGGGTGAGCCGGTGAAGAAGGCTCGCAAGCTGTCGGTCAAGAAGGAGTTCCAAACGGAGATCAGCATGAGCGTAAGTGACTTGTATCACACACCTAGTGGACCCATCTCACCGCCCTCCAGCGGCAGTTCGCCCAACTCTTCGGCACATGAGGCCACTGCAGCAGCAGCAGCAGCAGCAGGAGCAACAGGAGCAGCGGCTCCAGCTAAGGACCCATCGCGCGACAAGAGCTTCACGTGCAAGATCTGTTCACGCAGCTTTGGCTACAAGCATGTCCTGCAGAACCACGAGCGCACGCACACCGGCGAGAAGCCGTTCGAGTGCCCCGAGTGCCACAAGCGCTTCACCCGTGACCATCACCTGAAGACGCATATGCGCCTGCACACAGGAGAGAAGCCCTATCACTGCTCCCACTGCGATCGCCAGTTCGTGCAAGTGGCCAATCTGCGGCGGCATCTGCGCGTTCACACAGGTGAGCGGCCCTACACCTGCGAGATCTGCGAGGGCAAGTTCAGCGATTCCAATCAGCTGAAGTCCCACATGCTGGTCCACAATGGCGAGAAGCCGTTCGAGTGCGAGCGCTGCCACATGAAGTTCCGCCGGCGCCACCACCTGATGAACCACAAGTGCGGCATCCAATCGCCACCCACGCCCGCCCTCTCGCCGGCCATGAGCGGCGACTACCCAATGGCTACGGCAGCAGCAGCTGTTGCCGCAGCTGCCGCCCTGGAGTGCTCCACCAACAAGTTCGCCGCCATGTGCGCCAGCTACGGCGGCTCGGAGGAGTCCGTCGATTTGGCCAAGAGCAGCCTGGACGAGGAGGCGCCGCTCGACCTGAGCGAGGATGGCGCCAGCTCCGTCGATGGCCACTGCAGCGGCAGCAATGCCCGCCGCAAGGCGCAAGACATCCGCCGCGTCTTTCGGCTGCCGCCGCCACAGATCGTGCACGTTGCCAGCGACATGCCCGAGCAGACGGAGCCCGAGGATCTGAGCATGCACTCGCCGCGGTCCGCGGAGTCGCACGAACAGCACAGCGAGGACATCGACCTCGACGAGCTGGACGATGCGGCTGCGCTCTATCTGCGGCAGCAGCAGCTGCAGCAGCACTAAGCGAACTGTGCTAGTGGGCACACCTTGTATATAAAGGGTTCAAGAGGCCAGCGTGTTCATCAGATGAGGCTGGCTGATGGGTTAATGGAACAGGAATTTATGTCAAGTACAACTAGCTTGCAAAACTAAAAAACAAAAAACATAACCAAAACCTAAAATACAAACAAAGATTTAACTAATTTTTAGTCATTTAGCAAAAAGAAAACTAAAAATCGATTGCACATAAATCAAAAAGCTCCAAAAAATTGTACAAAACAAACTTAAATTAAGTCTAATTTAGGCGCTAAGGAAAACGCTCCCCCAAAAACTATGAAGAAACGTAACCCAGCTAATGTTGTGCCATTCTCAAAGTCTAGTTTCTAGTTCCCTTTTAGTTGATATTTAGCCTATAGACCTTTGTTGTCCAGTAATTGTATATAGTCTGCCAATTGTAAATTATACAGCGCTCTATCCCAAAAACAAAGATAAAGAAAACGAAAAAGAAAAAACAAAAAAACAAAACAAATCCCTTGAAAAAACACACACACACACATGAAAAATCAAAAAATAATTTTAATATATTTTAGTTATTGTTTAGTCTAATTTGTACGCATCTTTTGCTTATTCTCAAAGAAAACGCCAATCAAAATTAACTTTAAGTTATTAAAAAGTGAAAATTACATCATACAAATAATTATTAATAAATTCTTTTATGCTTAATGCCCATTGTTTTGTTTGCCATAAATTGTAAATTTAATTATCTTATTTTGTAATGCATGAATCTCGTTTTATTATCACATATTATCGATTCTGATTAACTTTAGTCGCCTTTTTTTAGTTTGCTATTTAAATTGTATTTAATGGAGCCCCGACTGTTGTTTCTCGCATGCTGTGAGGGGCGAAAAGCTTTGAAAATAAAATTGATTAAACAAAATCGAAAATTCAATTCTTATGTTTTTCTCTATTTTATTTTAAAATTGAATTTTTTTTAAGATATTTTTTTTCAGATAATATTTGACATTATTTTATTATTTGCATTTTCGAAACATATTCAAAAGTATCAAAAACTTAGAAAATATGTTTTGCTTCGTTCAATATTGTTTTCGAAATTATTCAGACAATCTGATGAAATAATTTTCATATTGACATATTGACAGATAAATTGATTTCTTTTTCTGAAAGTTCGGAATATCATTATATACAAGATCTTAAACTTATCGAATTTCTGTACAGAGATATTAACTTTAATTTTGTTTATAAGCATTTTGCTTAGGTTTTAAAAGAACAATCTTGCTTCATCCACTCACTTCCACTGATATTATATAGACATACACATAAAATAGCTCAACATATATAAGTAAAGTATAAAATAATAGTTTAAATCTAGTTCGTTAAGTCGTGAACCAAGTAAACAGGAAGAACTACTATAACCGAATACCTCCAATACCTCTATGTAAAAACGATTTGTTGTGATTGTTATTAAGCAACACACACAAACAAACAAACACACACACACATAAATATATACATAACAATATATATATTAATTACAATAACAACAATTTGGGCAATCGTACAATTCAACTGAATTTATATACAACAACCAGAAAATACAAAAGCAAAATAACGAAGCTAGATCAGCCGATACAAAAGTTATATACATCATATATATATGACAATTTTGATGAATATTTTTACGAGCTAAGCATAACGAACGATTTTCCAAGCATTTAGAACACATATTAACCTAGATCTAAGTGTATATATAACAATATATATAGCTGTAAATATATATATATCTATATACATGTATCTTTATATATGTACTCGAAACAACTTACACTACAGAATAATTTTAGTGCAATCTTTCGTTTCAATTTAAGTTAAATATTTTAAACGAAAACAAAAATCAAATGCAACAAAACATTGTGTAATTTTCTTTGTTCATTCAAGTGTATGGTATACAAGTTCCTCAAGATTAACAAAAACAAAAACAAAAAATGAAATGAAATAGTAAACGCATCTCAAGGTCTACAGAACTTTGTACTTGAGAAACTGCGCATTGTACACACACACCTCACATGTTTCATATGAATTATGTATATTTAAATACGACAAATTATATATACGTATGTATCCTAGCTGTATAAATATATCTATCCATATGTATACAAATATACTATGTAATACACGTAACGTCAATTTAAATTGTATATAGTATTTGTATTCAATATTATGCTCAATACGTGTGCAATATATTTAGTCCAATATTCAGCACTTAAAAAATAATCTATTAAAAAAAAAAAAAAAAATATA